TATATTCTCGATGCGCACTCCACGCGGGGTATATTAGTCATTTAGAATATGCCTATTCGCCACTATATAAACGCCCCCCATTTATAAAAATTTTACAATTACGCAACGACGCTCACAATCAACGGCCGTTAAGTATTAGGGTTTATATTCTTTTCTCGACGTCTATTGGGAATTCTTGGCGATTCAATATATTTACATTAGGGTTTGTCTCCCATCCTTTTGATTTTTTGTTTGAATGTTTTAGGGTTTAGGGTTATTTTAATTGTTCTATATGTACGATTTCATGAGATATTGATATGATTTTGGTTTGTGTGATAATTGAAGGTTTTTGTTAACAACGAGGGGTTTTAGGCTGCTCTTTATGGATCTTAGTATATCACATCTGTTTTTTCATATAATTATTTTTCTTCTTTTTCGTGCATTGTTAATTTTTAGATTAAAATTTAGGTTTTATTTCTTTTTCGAGTACCATATATTCCGCTTGTAGTATAATTAGATTCAAGACGTTTATTGAATATTGAATGATGTTTTGAACCTTTGATTTTTTTTACAACTTGGCATTTTTACCCCTTTATGGAAGATATAAAAGAAACAATTACGATATACTGGATTATTAATGGCATGTTTCTGGATATTTCCGGCATTAGCTACAAATTGACGCCTTTATATTATACTTCGATTTCCACCTTAGTGTTTGTTATTTGCAAACTTCACTCGGTTGTCAAGATTTATATGGTTCCACAGTAGTTTTTTTTTTACTTTTGATTATATTTTACTGCTTTTAATTTTGCTAAACTTTAAATTTGAGAAGTGCTTAAAGTTAAAATTTAGGGCGTTTTATGTTGTTCAGCTATGAAAATCTCTCATCACTAGTTTTCATATTTTATTTTATTTCTCTTAAAAATTTGATGAATACGTTGCAATGATTTCTTTGCAGTAATTGAAAAATTTACACTTCAACTGTGTTTTTCTAGTATGTTAATTTAGCTTGCATGATAATTTGCGGGAGTTATTATTTCAGCTGATTTTCTCAGCATTGCTTAATATTTAATTGATTGAGAAGGTTTGAATACAGGAATCCTATCTACGTAGTAGGAACGAACTTCTTCTAATGTTGCTTGCAGCCCGTTTTATGCCCCTGAATGGTGTAGTGTGAATGGTGTATCCGATTCTGATTTTTGCGTTGATTGTTTCTACAGTGAGGACTGATGATATAATGGAATCAAAGAGTGGCAAGAAGAAGTCTAGTAGTAGTAAATCCTTATTCTACGAAGAACCCCTTGGATACAGCATTGAGGACATCCGACCAAACGGAGGAATAAAGAAATTCAAATCTGCTGCTTACTCCAACGTGAGTGTTAATCTTTTATTTTTTTGCCCCATTCTTTCGATAATCATAAATAATTTTTGATGTTTGTGAAAATTATGAGGATTTGTTTTTCAACCGTGTGTTTCACATATGCAGTGTGCTCGGAAGCCGTCTTGATAATTTCCGGGGAAGTGCAATAACCACCAGAGGAGGTTCAGAGTCTTCAGACTGAGAGTTTTTCAATCGTTTATTCTGCCGTACTCTTTGTTTCTGTCTTCTTCTTGGCATTTCAATTTTCTGTTTGAAAAAGTACTCATACATCAAAATCAAAATGGCATTACTGGCCTCGGCAATTGGATTTGAAGGTTATGAAAAAAGGCTCGAGATTTCATTTTCTGAGCCTGGAAACTTTGTGGATGCTGGAGAACGTGGCCTCCGATCTTTGTCCAAAACCCAGTTGGATGAAATTCTAATGCCAGCTCAATGCACCATCGTTTCCTCATTATCGAACGATCAAGTTGATTCGTACGTCCTATCAGAGTCTAGCCTCTTCGTGTACCCGTACAAGATAATTCTCAAAACATGTGGGACTACAAAACTGCTGCTTTCAATCCCACCCATCCTCAAGCTGGCTGATAGTCAAAAGCTAACCGTGAGATCTGTAAGATATACACGCGGAAATTTCATATTTCCTGGGGCTCAGCCATTTCCACACCGTAACTTTCCTGAAGAAGTTGCTATTCTCGACAACCATTTTCACAAGCTTGGTATGAGCAGCGAAGCTTATGTGATGGGCGGTGCTGATGAAAATCAAAAGTGGCATATCTACTCAGCTTCTGCTCAATCAGAAGATATTCTTNTCTACTCAGCTTCTGCTCAATCAGAAGATATTCTTGGTCCGCTTTACACTCTAGAGATGTGCATGACCTGTCTGGACCAGATGAAAGCATCCGTATTTTACAAGACTGAGTTGAGCTCTGCTGCAATCATGACTGAAGTTTCTGGCATCAGGAAGATTCTTCCGGATTCTGAAATATGTGATTTTGATTTTGAACCTTGTGGTTACTCCATGAATTCTATTGAAGGGGATGCTGTCTCTACCATTCACGTCACACCAGAAGATGGCTTCAGCTATGCAAGTTTTGAAGCAGTCGGATATGATTTCAAACTGTTGGATTTGACTCAACTGCTCGATAGGGTACTGTCTTGTTTTCAACCAGCTAAGTTTTCTGTAGCTTTGCACTCTAATGCCCATGCGATGGAACTGGATTCGAAGTTCACTTTTGATGTGAAGAAATACATTTGTGGAGAAAGGAGCTGCGAAGTGCTTGGCAATGGTGGATCAATCATGTATAGTAGCTTCACTCTCGATAGTTGCGGGTCTCCCAAATCAATTCTGCATCGCTGTTGGAACGAGAACGACTGAATGAGGATGAGGAAATTGGGAAGTTACAATCGAATGCGTCGAAGTATGAATAAACGTTTGCTTATATAGCTCCATTATGTTTTTTAGTAACCAGGTCTTGATTGTTAAATTTTTTTTTTTTGAAGGGTATGATATAAAACTGGGTTTATTGTTTTACCTTGATATTGAATTAATATAAATCAGCATCTGTTTTATCCGTGACTTTCAAAAATCTTAAGGTGTGTGTATTTTTGTCGTTTCTTTTTTGGGTCTATTTTAATTTTTTGTTTAGAATATTATTTTAAGGTGTTTGTATTTTTAATTTGGGTGAAAATATTATCTTAAGATGAGTACAATGATCTATAAAAAGAATATGACGCCAATTAGTCACGTTTATAAAATGTTTACAAGTCACTTTTTTCTAATGTAACCTAAGCAATTGACAATGAAATTTACCAAATTCAAGAAAATAATTTCCTTCTTTTGAGCATTTGCTAGATGGTTCTTAAACTTCAAAGATGCTACCGTTCGTTTTGGACACATTTTGAAAATTGAAACTTTTTGCGAACTAAACATTTCAGAAATTCTAAGGCCTGTTCTTTTTGTGTTTCAGTTTTGTATTTTGAGTGTTTATTTTGAGATTGTTGAAAATGTGTTCTTTTTGACATTTTGAAAAATTGTTTTGAAAACACTCAAAACGCGTTTTTAAAATTTTGACTTGATTATAATTCAAAAAAACCCAAATCGACAATTTATCATTTTGTGTTTTCTTGTAAAATTTAAACTTGTTTTCAAAAATGCATTTTTCGAAAATAGGAAAGAGAACGCGTTTTCACTGTTTTGAAAAATTGAAAACAGGGAACGACTTGAAAATGGTAAAGAGAACAGACCCTAATTTTTTCTTAATTTTTTAAAATAAAATTAGTAAACAATGAGAAAACTTTATGAAAGCTATTGAAAATATTTATCTAAAATATTTGAAAAGTTAAATTAAGAGTTGCACATTATTATGGACTTTTGTGGGCGTCACGATTGAGAATTACTTAATTTCAATCTCGTACTTGCACTTCAATAAAATTAACTAGCGATCAGAGTTTGCAATGATACTAAAAAGTTTTTCAAAATAAAAAAAATTTCAATTTATAAAAGTACATTATAATTCTTTGTATAACATTTTCAAAACATTTCTCATCCTAACATTTTTTAGAAATAACATTTCCACATATCACAATTCGCATGTTAAATATAGCTTCGAATAGAGGTGATCATTTCATGAAATAAAACAATAACCCGGTCAATAAGTAGAAGTAAAAAGGAGAAAATGAAATACATATCCACCAATTATACACTAGAAGTTCCTATATAACAGGATATATAGTTACAACTTAGAGTCGATGAAAACCATTGACTTTTCCAACTTCTCCCTACCCTAATGGCCGTGAACCGGTCTTCCCTGAGATGAAGGAGTTACTTTTCCATTTGGCACTGCCTTTGGATTGGCTTCTACTGCTATAAATTCCTACAAACTATCCCATAAGCATCAAACTGAAAGATATAAACATATTTGTTTTGTGCGTGCGTGCATTTCTTTGACAAAGCAAAAGATGGATAATTCTCAGAATGTCAGTTACCAAGCTGGTCAGGCCAAGGGCCAAGCTCAGGTGAGCCTATTATATTTTGAGCTAATTCCCATCCCGTCTGAGATAAAGTTGATCTGTGTACCATTATCAGCTTCTTGGCCCGAACCGAAAAAAAAAAAAATATATAGTGTTCTATTCTTTAATTCAAGATATGAAGATCTGTAATGAATGTGTTTTCATGTTCTTATAATTTCAGGAAAAGGGTAACCAAATGATGGAAAAGGCCGGCAATGCTGCTCAATCGACCAAAGAAACAATGCAGGAGGTTATCATATTGATTCGTGTTTTCGCTTTTGACATGTTTGATACCTTCCATTCGACATAGATAAATTAGTAATTGACGTAAAACATTAATTGAGATTTTTTTTTTATTTTTGGTTTAGGCTGGACAGCAAGTGAAGGCCAAGGCAGAAGGTGCAGCTGATGCAGTTAAAAATGCAACTGGGATGAACAAATGAAGATTGATTGATCCTTCTACTGCTTTGAAGTTTTGGTTGAAAAATTGTTGATTCCACAATTAGAAAATTTATTTTTCATTCCTTGAAATAGGAGTTTATGTCATAAAACTTCACTAATAATTATTTGAAAATGTTTTGAATTTGGTAATGAGTGACTTAATTAGATTAAATGAAAATTCTTTAAATTGGATAATTAGGAGTTTACTGTTCTGTAGATCGATGATAAAATGTTTAAATCCCATTGGACAATGAATTAAAGATCCACCGCCGAATATTCCAATTATGATCCTATGAATAACATTAATTTTGAAACTTTTTTCTTATCGATCATCTAAATTTTAAATAAATATTCACGTAATCTGTCTCTATTAACGAGATGTCAATGCCCTGATCCATGCAAACTTTAGCTCTTCCCATAGAGCCATACACTCGCCAATTAATGGATCAATATTAACTTGGAGAACTCTAGAATAGGCAGCTACCATTCTGCCATTAGAATCGCTGCACATAGCTCCAATAATTTGAATTTAATAATTTGATTATATATTAGTTAATTCTCATTTTGGCATTGCTTTTTTTACTTATTTTAAGGTTATATGTTCTTTACTCATCGGGATAAGTTTTGGTACCATTTTGAAGTATTTATGACAAACTTTGAAACTCGTCTTTCATATTGAGAAACCGTCATAGTACGAGTTCAAAATAGCAAGTTAAAAAAGAATGTTAAAATTAGATTTTCGTTTCCATTTTTAGATGTTAATTTAACTAAAATTTTATTTGACATCAACCTTACACTTCTTGCTTGTATAATTAAGTTAAAAATATGGCGATTTTTGAGGTGTTATAACGAGTCTCTAAATAATTGTTATATATCTAAAAAAACGTTTAGCAAAAAGGAAAAATGAAATTCAAAATTTAGTTCCCGTTGGACGTAATTTTTAAAAATTTATTTTTCGTCAAATTCATTTTTAATCACATATTTTATTTGATTTATAAATTTTATCAATTTTTAAATCATATATCTCATCAATTTTATCAAAATTTACTGAAAATTTCAACTTTTTGCCCAACCAAACCAAGGGGGCTTAATCTCTTGAATACTAAGCAACCAAAGGGGCTTGTTCTCTTCAATGCATGATCGTTTTTAACAAATTATAACGAGCAGTGTTATTCATAGTGAGAATTATAGGCAGTTGTCCTATGTATGTAGCATACACGTGATAGTTTGTTATTTGATGCATGAGATAATAAAAAATTATCACATTAGTACATCAAATTAGAAACTTCTATATGTATGTCATGTAAGGCGACTATTAGTAATCCTCACTATAAATAACATTATTCAATTGAAATACATAGGCCCCTATTTAGTGTGTACTGCAATTTTTATATATGTATGTATGTATATTAAGTTAAAATCAACAATTAATTTTAACTATATCATTCGTGGAACTTACAACTTTTCAACCACATAATTCATTAACTTTTATTGAAATTTACTTTAGTCTATGCTTAAGCTCCATTCTTCAGTAAACTTATTTTTTCTAACCAGGAAATCACTATTCTATATCCTATTTTCCCCCAAAAATGGGGCTCAAACATGTTTAATTTCAAATTGCATATTACCTAAGCTTATAAGAGTTTCAGTGTTGCTGAAAGATTTGTGCCATCAGCCATGTGCCTTCTGTGAAGAACATCTTTAACCTTTTGTATCTTCCTATGATTGGTTGTCATTTAATTTGGGTTGTTCTTAAGGAAATTGGTGCTTTTTTATGTGTTACAAACTTTGTATTTCATATTTATAAACATATATTGCATGTTTTTCTACGTTATGATCAATTGTCCAAAGGATTTGTACGATTACTTATATCCCAAACTATCTGCAAAATTAGTGGTTAGATTTACTTCCTAAGTTTGTTGCCACTGTAATAAATCTTTATTGTCGCTATTGATATCTTTGGCCAACATGCAAGGTCACTTCTAATATGGTGTCATGTTTGTGTTTGAAACCTGTAGTGTTGTGTTTTGTCGACTCCTAGATAGTCCATGACATGATTTGACAAGTCACGTGCTATTGTTCTATATTTCTTTAAATTTCTATACTTTTCTTAATAAATTTGAAGCCAACAGTAAAATGCAAAATAACTGGGATTTTTCATGCCTGTTAAACACCATTTATTATGTCCAAATCCAATAAATTACTAGATAAGAGTCGGTTTGATATAATTATGTTTAAACACAATTATTCAAGAAAATTCAGGACCTTTTTGGATATTGGCAGACTACTTTCGTGCCTCCTACGTTGTTTTCATGATTCTCTTCCACTTCTATTAAACATTTCAATTACATCCTAATGAGGAAAATCATTGCTTCTGCAAATTACAAAATTTAGCATCTTGCAAGATTCAAAAATGAAATATTTTTGGGTATGACTATGAAAATTTGAATCGATTGGAGAACAGTATGGACATGTCTAAAGTAGTAAAGGTGAATTGATATATCGGTCTAGCCAAAGCAGGTCGATTATTAATTGGCTTGACGCGGCTTGATTTTGGTAGATCGGTCTAGCCAAAGAAGGTCGACTATTATTTGGCTCGATGCAGGCTTGACATAGCCCAAAAATAAGCTCAGTCGAGGGTAGCTCGTGCGAACAGGAGAATATGTGATATTTGTGTCCACCTAGGTTGGTCGATTATGTGAAAAAAAAAAAAAAAGGGAAAAATGATATTTGTGTCCTTTTTAAAATTTTAAAACAATGTTACATTTTTGTCTTTAGAATATAAAATTAATCTTTTATGGTTTACTGGTCTTCAGTTTTACTCTAATTTTATTGATTAAAATTATTAATTATTTAATACCGTATTAAAGTGTGAATTGTGATGCTTGTAAGTATTCATTGCATTTAGAGTGTCGTTCGATGTATTTGATAGTTTTAATTATTATCTCACTATGACAAGAATAGATCTACGATCAAGAACAGCTTTAATTTACTAATTAACATCTTAACTCAAATACATATTTTAGAATCAATCAAATTGCTTGACTTCGACAATCAAATGAATTGAACTTTAATCTAATTATACAATTAATCTCTCCGTCAGTAGTCACCGTTGAATTTAAAGTCTAAATTCAACGTGACTATTAAATCATAATGAAAATTCGACGTGAATTAACCTTCAACTACAAAGAATAAGAGACTTGTCAATCCCAATATTGTTGAAGATCATTAGAGCGTGTTACTATTTATGAGTGATTTTCGTGCAAATATCTAAGTTCATTAGCTTTATTAGTTGTCAAAATTACGAGCCAAGGTAGGCATTCACCTAGGTTGGTCGTTTATGTGAAAATATATGATATTTGTGTCCTTTATAAAACATTATATGTTACATTTTTGTCTTTAGAACAAAAAATTAATCTTTTATGGTTTACCGATCTTTAATTTTACTCGAATTTTATTGATTAAAAATATTAATTAGTTTATACCATATCACATAAATATAATTATATATATAATAAGAGTTGTAAATATCAATAAAATATAATATGATTCATTTTTATTTTTTTTGGTGAATGATGTATTATATAAAGTTTGTATTAGTTTCTATTATATAAAAGTAATAAAATATAGTTCGTACCACGGCCGTACCCTATTATATAGAAATAATAAAATATAGACTAGTTAATTGTGTTATTTTCTTGTAAAATTATTCTTATATTTATAAAATTTTAAGTTACCATTTTGATAATGAAGATATAATGGTCATTTTATGGAAAGAGAATGATTTTTTTTTTTTGTAAGCATACTCTTTAATCAAACTAAATGTAAATGGTTGGTGCTTGAGAGAGAACGTATACTTCTTCTAGTGCATAAATGTATAGTTCTCAAATTTGAACTAACAATATGCATGGATACCGTTAAACTAGCCAATTAAATCAATCAAATTGCCCCGATTTAACGATATCTTAAAATTTTAGGAAAATGTTCAACGAATAGGTTTTTAAAATCAAACAAGATTGATTGATCTATTCCCAAAACCGATCAAACTTCCATGATCTCGACTCACTTTTATTTCAGTGGATTGTATTACAAGTGAACTAGTTAAAGCATGACGGAGCTAATCAAAACTCGATCAAATCGTACAATTTTTGTCAATTTCAACGTCATAGACTCCTAGTAGTCCATGACTATTCTTTCTTATGTTAGGTCAATTTCTTCTCATTTTGGTGGGTGGTCAATTTCTTCTTTCGGCAGTTAGATTATGTTTAAGCAATTAGGTTGCACTATGTTGAGGCCATCCCCGTCACATGGTCCAAATGTTGACTAGAAATAGGGCAATAATGTTTCCCTTAGTAGTGATGGATATCCAAAATGGGAAGTTTCTTTAAGTTCTAGCAACTTAATTTTAAGTTACAATATTGAAACTCGATGATTTAAAAAATATATATACACTTCGAGCCACATTGATCAATAGGAATTTATTGACAAAATTTGTGGAACGACGATCTATATGGAAGGAATTTAGAGTTAAAATCAATTTTCTCTACATAATAAGTAAAATAAATTCACCTTTGAGTAATTAATAAGAAAAATAAGAACACTTGTATATATACAAAGAATAAAAGAGAAAAGAAGAAACATTATGGTTGTCTCTCCATAATCATCACTCCCTTAAAATGGGACTGAATCTAATATTCTCCCACTAAATTTTACAGTTTAGAAAAAGGATAAAGTTGGTTGAGATGGGTGGGGGGCACCTTTTCCTTTTTTCCTTTTTAATTATTAAAGTGACTCTCTTTTTGGTTAGTTGCTTGGAGGGTTGTCACCTAATTGTAGTAAAGCGTGGGAAATCTTTAGCTCATGCTTATTTCTAGAATCAATACGGCACATTCAACTCATATTCCTTTGTACCCTAAACCAAATTTGTTATTTGTATAAATAGAATAATGAAGTATGTAAAGGGAATATAGCCTTTAGGCAAGAGGTAAATAACCAATATGTGAATTGTGATGCTTGTAAGTATTCGATGCATTTACAGTGTCGATCGACATATTTAATAGTTTTTATTATGTCACTGTGACAAGAATAGATTAAGGGTGTCAATGAGTCGAACAGAACCGGCTTGTCCTTTGGCTGGCGTGGACGCGACCCAAGCCTGAGTAGGCTAGTATTTTTTTAATTTTTGAAGAAATTAATAAAATAAGTAACAAAATGAATCAACCCATGAGCTCAAGATGAGCCGGCTAGCAAAAAAAATAATCAAACTTGACTTGTCTCAATACGAGCCCGAGCTATCAATGAGCCGAGTTGAGCCGACGAAAGGCTCAACCCATTAGCCACCCCTAGAAGACCATTTTAATTATTAGTTTTCAATAAAGATTCTTGATCAATTTTATAGACATGATTCAAATGAATATATGTGGTTCATCTTTAAGAACTTAGTTCTTTTAAAATAAACATGATAACATGGTATCAGAGCTACACAAATGAACTTGGTTCCACTCTTCTCGCCGCCCATTTATAAAATTGTGCACTATTAGATAATGAATTCAATCTAAACGTGAAGGGATATGGATGTATTGCAAAGGAAATTTGAGTGGTTACACGTCCTCATGTGACTATGGTCATGGGAAGGCCATTAAATTAACCATCGATCTCTAAACTTTAACCTTGAGATTCTCACATTCTTATTAGCATGTACTTTAAAGTAAATGCATTTTGGGACTTTAATGAATGGCCAAACTCAGGGAATGTTGGATTCCCTCACGTCTCTTGCTATTTTATTATATAAATATACGTACATGCATATGTGCCAAGTTTTTAATTTCAACCATTAGAAAATCTCACTGTATAAAGTTCAAAGAGAAAACGACAAATTTCCAAGCAAAACAATAACTAGGGATTAAATGTACCCAGGAAATATTTGGCTTTTATGGTTGGAAATTAAAAAAAGGAAAACTTTGAATGGAGAATTTGTCCTTATTTTTAAAAGGAAAATTTAAATTTTATAAAGTTTACAATATATATGATTATATTCTAATTTAGAAAACTTGTGTTCTAAGAGTTGTCTCTTTTATTCACCTTTTCTTCTTATACATTTTCGTGAAACAAATCGAGTACTTTCTTGATGAATAATAATCTTTTGAAAGGTCATGAATTTTTTTCTTAATGAATGACCACGTTCAAAAGTTGTAGTATCTTTCGATTATTAAAAATCAATTTAAGAATTCTTCTCCTTACATTATACAAATATTCTCTTCCCAAATCATGTCAAATCTATTTTCAAATCAGAAGTTCTATTTGTCGGTTCATTTGTGAGAGTAGTGCTAAGTCCTTCATACGAATTTCGTTTTATGCATTTGTGAGTCTATAAAATGTGTGGTTAAAATTAACCCTTAAAATTTAATCCAATTTTTTAGCTGAATCAAACAACATTATCTTTGGGCATTTTCATATATCATCAGTGCTCCTTTTTTTGTCTCCATCATTTGCTAAAGATTTTAAAAATGTCGCAAATTGTAATCTTTAATGATTTACACAATTACACGCCAAAAGTATTCCTATAAATCCTTTAAGAATTTATCAATATTCAGCTAATATTTTTAGTCTGTAAAATATTCTTTTCTTGACAAGCTCCTGACCCTTGACAGGCATGCTTGTTCTCTTTATACAAGAAAGGACCAAGTAACTTTTCTTAGACCGGCAAACTGAAAAAAAATCAGTTTCTAGCATTAGAAAGCAAGAAATTATTAGCCAGAGAAGAAACATACTGAAATCTTGTCCCCAGAACACCTCCATTGCTAAAACTTAGCAGGGTTTTTTTGTCTGATTTTTTGCTGCAAATAATCAATAGAAATGACAAGAAAAGGAGAGGGTGCATTTTGGATTTTCACATTTTTCTGCTTCTGGAACAGTGCGATCTGCTTGCTTTCTTCTACAGGCGTAAACTTTGAAGGTAAAAAAGATTATTTTTTGTCTTAACATTAAGAGGGTTTAATGTTTTATCTTCTAAAGTTAAAGTATTCTCATGGGTTTTTTTTTCTGTAATTAGTCCAAGCTTTAATGGGCATAAGAGCTGGTTTGATAGATCCTCATGGTGTTCTTGATAATTGGGATGGTGACTCTGTTGATCCATGTAGCTGGACTATGGTCACTTGTTCTGCTGAAAGTCTTGTCATTGGCCTGTGAGTCATGTCAAAACAAAACCAATTCTTTTACTGCATATTCCTTTTTGAGATATCTTCAACAATTAAATGTATTAAGAAAAATTAAGTATATGTTGATAGATTGCCTTATGCAGAGGAACTCCAAGTCAGAATTTGTCTGGTATTCTTTCTCCAAGCATTGGGAATTTAAAAAATCTTCAAATTATGTAAGTAGGAAACGTTATTAAAGATAATGGTTCTTAAATTTTGCATATTACGTTGCTGTTTTTAATGAATGAAATGTTTGCAGCTTATTACAGAACAACAACATAACAGGATCAATCCCAGCAGAACTTGGAAGACTCTCAAAGCTCCAGACTCTTGATCTTTCAGATAACTTCTTCACTGGTAGTATTCCACCTTCTCTGGGGCACTTGAGAACCCTTCAATACATGTAAGCATCAAAGATTGAATTTGAGAAACTACGAAAAGGACTTAACAGTGCGTTTGGTATGATGAACTGGAGACAACTGGACTTACAATATTAAGGATGAAAAAAAGTTAAAAATCTTGTTCATTGTCATGTGCAGTGCTAGGAAGAACTACTTACCAAACATGCCTTAATGGATGTTTCTTAGAGAGGATTCAATAGCAGCGGAGAGTTGAAAAAGAAAAATCTTTTTCTTTAATTTGTCCAGTTGTATCTAGTGCTACGCACCAAACATGCACTAAATGTATTGCTCTCTTGATCTCAAGTGGTGTATTTTTCTGAATTAGGAGGCTCAACAATAACAGTCTATCTGGAGAGATTCCAATGTCATTAGCCAACATGACGCAGCTTTCTCTCGTGTAATTTTTCTTTGGCATCTTGCATGGACTACTGATTTTGGTTCAAGTTTCTGATGACACGATCACGTCAAGAACGTTTCTTAAATTCCTTATGTTTGTTTATTTTAGGGACTTGTCTTTCAATAACTTGACGGGCCCTTTACCCAGATTCCCCTCCAAGTCTTTCAAGTAAGCTACTAGTTCACAGTTTTACAACTCCCCTATCAATATATGTTTCTGAAAGAACTAGGATTGATGAATTTCTGTCAATGTTTTTTTTTTTTAATGTCATTTTGCAGTATTTTTGGGAACCCTTCAATATGCCCAACAGGGTCAGAGCCGCCGTGCCATGGAATAACATTAATGCCAATGTCCATGACAATGAACAATTCAGAAAGTACGGAAAAAGGCTTACTACACATTATTAATATTTTCTTATATTTTGAACTATATTAGATTTTTTTACTGAATTACTCTGTTCAAATTTTTTGTGGACATGATCTGATTGTCCTGACTTTGTTCTCCACACTTCCACTAGCTGCTTTGTCTTCTGGGAGACAAAAAAGCCACAATTTTGCACTTGCCCTTAGTTCAAGCATTGGGTGCATCGGTTTGCTTCTCCTCGGATTCGGGCTGTTTCTGTGGATGCGACGAAGGCAAAAACAGCAGAAAAATTTTGATGTTAAAGGTTTGAGAAAGATATTGGAAGTTGACTGATAACATAAGCAATAAAATAGTTTGTTCATTTTGCCAATTATTATCTTTGCTGGTAATTTCAGACAAGCATCACGAAGAAATTTCTCTTGGAAACTTGAGGAGGTTTCAACTTAGGGAACTTCAGATAGCAACCAACAACTTCAGCAGTAAAAACCTTCTGGGAAAAGGTGGGTTTGGAAATGTCTACAAGGGGTATCTTCTAGATGGGACTGCCGTGGCTGTAAAGAGGCTGAAAGATGGCAGTGCCACTGGAGGGGAGAGACAATTTCAAACAGAAGTTGAGATGATAAGCCTAGCAGTGCACCGGAACCTTCTTAGGCTATATGGATTCTGTATGACTTCCACCGAAAAGCTTTTGGTGTACCCATATATGTCTAATGGAAGTGTTGCTTCTCGACTCAAAGGTAATACACTGAACAAGTTTTGAACAATCTGCTGCAATTTTAGAATCATTTTGTTTGAGGTCATTTTCTTGGACTGTTTAGTCTGATCGTAGTGTTCACTTATCCTCTCAACCGTGGATTGATTTATTATAGGGTATATATGGCATTCATATCTTTGTATTAGATCACCTTTGTTTCTTACGCTATATGAAGGAATATGAGAGAGCCATTTTTTCTATAAGATAAAAATGTGAGGAAAATCTTAATCTCCTTTATTAAATTGAAATTTTTAACGACTGAGACCTCTTGCCTAAATCGTTATATCATACGTATTGTTCGCTTTGGAAGAGTTTAATCCATCTTACCCCTCATGACTTTCCGTCTCGTCCTCCAGGATTCGAATGTAATTGAAAGCCGTGAAAGGTAAGATGAATTAGGCTCTTTCAAAATAGATAGTACGTATGATATAACGGCTTAGGCATAAGGCCTAGGTCATTACAAAAAAAGGGAGGAATCTTCCCTCTTACCTCTCACGAATTTCTATTACGTCCCCAAGATTCGAACCTAAGACTTATATTTGATGAGAGACTTAAATTGAATCTTGATAGAAATCCGTGAGGGGAAAGAGAGAATATTCCCTCCAAAAGCGGATAATAAGTAAGAGAACTATCGGACATGATGCTTGTGTAGTTACAAAAAAATGCGCTTTTGTAACGACCTAGGCCTCGTGCCGAAATTGTTATATCATACGTACTGTCTATTTTGAGAGAATCTATCTCATCTTATTCCTCATGGCTTTCTGTAGTGTCCTCCAAAATTTGAACTTAAGACATTTGTCTTATGAAAGACTTAAGTTGAATTCTAGTACCATGAGTTAGGCTCTTCTAAAACGTATAGTACTATGATATAATGATTTGGACATGAGACCTGGATCGTTATTAGCCAATTGTATCAGGAATCAACTTAAGTATCTCATAAGATATAGATGTCTTGGGTTCGAATCCTATACGACACAACAGAAAATTGTGAGGGGTAAGATGGACTAGACTCTCTCAAAGCGGACAATACGTATGATATAACAGCTTGGATATGAGGTTTGGGTTACAAAAATTCTATTGCGAAGTTGATGTAACTCTCATATTGAGGATAAACCACTATCAACCTGTGTTTATGTGAGTGCATTTCTCTTTTCCGTTTCCTCCATCATTTCTCTTGGGATTGAGGTCCCTAACATATTTAATTTGGACAGCAAAACCAGTCTTGGACTGGGGCACGAGAAAGCGAATTGCATTAGGAGCCGCAAGGGGACTGCTATATCTCCATGAGCAATGTGATCCAAAGATAATTCATAGGGATGTGAAGGCTGCAAATATTCTGCTTGATGACTATTGTGAAGCAGTGGTGGGAGATTTTGGGTTAGCAAAGCTTTTGGATCACCAGGATTCACACGTTACGACAGCAGTACGGGGCACTGTAGGGCATATAGCCCCCGAGTATCTCTCAACTGGACAGTCTTCTGAGAAAACAGATGTTTTTGGATTTGGGGTCCTACTACTTGAACTGATCACGGGTCATAGAGCTCTTGAATTTGGCAAAGCAGCTAATCAGAAAGGAGCAATGCTTGATTGGGTGAGCATACAACCCTTTATTGTTTTCTTATTTTCAAACATCAATTTTCCAAGTTACATTCACCTGCAACTGAATCTTATAAACACTACACCAAATTAGGATTTCTATGACGGCGAAATCAAAACGGACTCTCAAAATCCACATAATGATCAATGCATTTTTTAGCTGTCACAGTAGGCATCAGTTAGCACTGCATTAACTTTGGAACGTATCCAGATAAATTTGATTTGTCCAATAAACTTATCTCGGGCATTTCTTAGCCCTCACAGAATGCATTAGTTTGAGCTGTTCGAATTTTATAATCTATCTTAATATATTTGATTAGTCCAGTAAACTTATCCAATGCTAAAATATGTCTCAGGTGAAGAAACTTCACCAAGAGAAGAGTCTTGAATTGCTGGTCGATAAAGATTTTAAAAACAACTGCGATATGATAGAGCTAGAGGAAATGGTTAAAGTGGCTCTCTTATGCACTCAATATCTTCCAAGCTATAGACCAAGGATGTCGGAAGTTGTTCGAATGCTTGAAGGTGATGGACTTGTTGAAAGATGGGAAGCATCTCAGAGAGTACAAACGAGCAAGTATAAAACACAAGAGCTCATCTTATCAGAACGATATTCAGACCTCACAAACGACTCTTCATTACTCGTACAAGCCATAGAGCTCTCTGGTCCAAGGTGAGGCAATTGCTTACACGATACAGAATTAAACTTTGGAAAGGGGAAGTTTATAGTTAAAGTGTTTACAAAAAGCAAAGATCATTATTATTATTATTTGTATAACAGTGAAACGTCAAAGTCTCAAAGGACTTCGATTTTTCTCTCACTGTATAGAGTTGCATCTTTTCCTGAAAAATTATTTTCTTGCTGGATAATACTGAAGCTCGAAGCGTATTTGAATTTAATGCCTGCGCGGCTATGTATTAGAAGGGACATTTACAATCTAGCAATTCCTTGGTAAAAGGAATGTTACGAATTGAAGAACTTGAATAAAAAGGGTCACCTTACCGATCAAACATTCAAGCAGTAAAACTTAAGGATCAAGTGCTTAAAAGCAATGTGTTCTTAAAAGTTACATCTACATAAGAACTTAGGAGGAAATTATCCGCGTTTGTCTTCTGATTCTTACGTTCCAGCTACATAAGTTGGAATGGAAGCAAGATTATGCACCTAGCAATAGCACTAAGATCACGACTGTTCGATGTTTTGGTAGGGGGGAGAGAGCGAAAAGAAGAGATGTCACAAATTCATCATGACATCACCGATTTGTAACAAAAGTTGTAGGGTGTTCTCGAGGGTATTTCTCATTAAGTAGGAGGAACTCGACCAGGGGATAATGCTATTTAACATCACTATACAACACCATTTTCGGAGGTACTATATGATAGGTCCAATTAAAGGTAAAAGTAAGTGGTTCATTTAATTGTACCTCTTATGTAATGCCAATATTAGTGTCACCTAGACTGACGTTTAACACTAATAATGTTAAATAGCATTATGAGGGGCCAAGGTTGTAGCGAAGAAGCGGACCAAGGCACTGACAAGGATTCAAGGCCGACAACAACCAAGGGAAGAATGGTCGTACACCAATTTAGAGACGGAGACCTACTCTAGGGTGCCCTTGATTTAGATTTTCGATTTGGCCGTTAGGTGACAATTATGGGCCTAATATTGACCCCACGGTGAATTGGTAGTTGAGGGGTCGTTGGATTGGTTGAGTGAGCTGGCATTGAATAATAGACTTCAGGATGGTAAGACAAAAAAAGACTCAAATTAAATCGATCAAGACTTAAATTGTATTTGTGCACTGCTCAAATACATAAACTGTCTGATAATCCCCGTAAGCTCGACTGGATGCAGCAAATCTCTTGGGGGAGCTATTATAAGCAGTCTGGTTATGAAGACTATCCAGCATTATGTTCAGCTCCGGGTAAAACTTCTCTTGATTCGGGACTTTTTCCTTACTATAACTCCAGTGGAAAGGAGAATATGCAAGAGTTCCATATATAGCCTCATTGGAGTATCGTACCATGCAAAATTCGTGCCATAAAATTGCTTAGTCTTGGTTCGGGCACCTCTTTAAGATTTCGGCTGTATCATTTTTGACGTAATCACGGCATTGATAAGGTTGAAGATCTGCGCTACGGAGCGCAATTACGTTGACTCTATCTGAATTTTTCCCGATGGAAGCGTTGTAGAATCCACTAGTGTCGATATTTGATGAGACGTAGGAGAGGAGGGCATTAAGGTTGAACTTGTATGTGCTATTACTTGTGTCATTACAATTATTTTGACATCGATACTCAATAAATATTGGAGTTGGGAACTCGGATCTGAAAATAGGAAATAGGTTTATCAGACAGATAAGGAAAATGAAATTTGGAAGCCATTTCCAAGAACTCATTACCAGGGGCGTAACCAGCCGTTTGAAGTAGGGGAGGTCCCAAAATTAAAGATATAGCTGTCCCAGAATTTATTTTTTTTGGGTACATTATTAAAAAAAAATCAAAAAACATATTGTTTCGCGTGGTTACTCGCTAACAATTAAAAGAGGATCAGACGATTGTGTAAGGAACAAACCTTTTGAAACAAGTCCCAAAAA